AAAAGAATCGGCCCCCTTAATTCAAAAAGTGAAAATGAAGAAGAGTCGTTATGATACACAGAGGCACAATTGTGCTTCGAGCATTTGAATTTTCAACTAGACTATCTACATAAGTTCAGTGCAACCACATTTCTGCTTGTAATAAATTCTGCATAAAAATATTTTTTGATTTTTATAACCTATGGAGCACACAATTGTTCTCTTGACACAGAGCTAGTCGCAGGAAAGACTAAAATGAGCATCCTTTACCCCCTCAATTTGTAACCAGAACAAGTGGCCACGTGGTCTGCTGCCAATGTTTACCATACATAGATTGCACTGACGTCACCCAGTGCCCAGCAACGGCGTCCTTTGCACGTGCGGCCAGCCTTCCACAGAATAGAGAGCACGATGTGAGACGCTCGCGGAGGCACGTGCAAACCTACTTTCCACCGCATTAATGGGACGCTTAGTACCTGGGAATGGTGACTAGATGACGTCACGTGAGAACTATGTATAGCCATAGTCTGTGTATGGCAACATGTGCAGCATATGCTGAGCTGTAAACAATGTTTAATTTTGGCCATTCGTCTGCAGAGATTAGTCATGAGTAAGGCTCCGTGATTTCGGATAAATCCGAAAAACTCCGAAAAACACCCGCCGGTAAAATTTTTGGCAATTCGGATTTATCCGATAAACTCTGAATTGTTATGTGCCCATGCCACCCCCCCCCCCCCCAACCAAAAACACAGCAAAAATAAAAAAAATAAAAATGTTTTTTTTCTTTTTTTTACATTTTGAGCAACGCAGGATCAATGGTCCTGAGAAAATGACACCATAATTATCGTTCAAGCCTCGGACCGTTGTCAAAAGGGGGTCTTACGGCTTGTCTCGTCAAAGTTGGTTCAGGGAAACAGGTCATCGTACCATTCGTGTCACGAGAAAAGCCACCCTTTTGGTTTCCAGTTTGGGCCATGGGATTTGGGATTTAGAGAAATGAGAGGGTGTGTTTCTGGGGGTAACAGTGAAAGCTATGGACCATAGAGATTGTATAAAATAGGGATGAGGGGCAGTTGAAACTTCTCTATTACATCCACCTCGCGCGGCAGCGGGATAGATTGATGGGATGACTACGAGCTTCCTTGCGGCTACCTCCGGCAGTATATTGATTTTAAGGTATCGACGTTTAACGAAGCCACACTTGTGTGCGACTTTTGTCGTGGGACAAATTAGTATTGCCATTGACACCAACGCCAAATTCAACTGAAAAAATCTTAATTGATACAAGCGCGTTTTATTTTCTATCTGGCACACGTTTGCATCCGGTTATTATTTATTATTTTTAATAGAAAACACTGCAAAATTAATCTCCGAATTTCGGAGAATTGGGGATTTATGAAAAATAAACTCCGATAAACAGCGAATTTTTGCTAAAAAATAAACTCCAAAAAACACCCTCTGAATTTCACGAAAAATAAACTCCGAAAACACAGAGCTCTAGTCATAAGCTAATGCCCAAGTCGAGGAACTTATTGTCACGAGCCCAAGTCAAGTGTTCATGCAGTGCTCGTATGGAATCCATGAGCCTCATTAGACTATCATCACCACAGTGTGCTCTCCTAGACACCGTCAGCATAATTACCTCCATGGTCGCATCAGCAAGGTTACAAAAATTGAGAGTGAAGGAAACACTCGCCCTCTAAACTTGAATTCACATCTCAACGCATGCAAGATACTGAGGTCAAACTAGTGCTAGTAAGCCTGCAATGAGAGAATCATTCCAACATAATATGAATAATCTACCCCTTCCTACCACACTGCAACTAAGTGAAAAAGGAACCATGACACCAACTCCTCATTTAAAAAAAAAGATTGCGTAAAATACAAAAACACTACAGGTATTAACAAGGATATTAAATCTGCAAATAATCAACAGGGAGCTTTGAAACACTTGAGTAGCCTAAACACAAACTCGCCTTCAAGTCGCCGCCGCAGTGTTCTAGACGACGGCAATGGGAAGCCCCCCTCCAGAAGTAAGTCGTAGCCCGTGCTGCCACACGCGAATCGCATCTGCAACGACTTTTTCACCGTCTCGTTCGACCACTTGGACCCCCTGTTGCTGGATCTCGATAGCGCTGCCAGTTGGTCCGCAGTGAATATCTTGTGCAGGTGAGACCGAAACGTCGCTTCCCTTGTCTTTTGTAAGGCAGCCTGCCTCACCAAGCGACGATTCTCGTTCTCCAGCTGCTTGATCTTCCGGCTCATCTGAAGAAAGACATCTTCAGTGAGCCTAGGTGGAACGGGTGATGGAGAAAGAGGCTGGAGGGTTCGCTCAGAGCTCCCGGCCGCTGGTTGCTGCAAACACGGTACGGGAATTGGGTGTTGCCCACCTCACGAGATGACCCCAAGCCGTGCAAGAACCATGACACATACCCAGCTGGTGGGGACCGCCGACACCAAGGTGACGCAGGCAGCTACGCTGGCCTGGCCGCGCTGGTTGTCGCTGGTCACCTGCGGCAAAGAGTGCGGTGGTATTGATACACGGGGGTACACAGGACCCTGGAAGATGCTTACGAAGCACGCCCTGCTGGTGGTGGGAAGCGGCTGCGTCAGCAGGCCGCCCTGCAGGGCTGCTCCAGGGGTCTTGGCCGCTGGTTGCTGCAAACACAGTACAAGAATTGAGTGTTGCACACCTAACGAGATCACTCCAGGCCGTGCAAAAACCATGACACATACCCAGCTGGTCGAGGCCGCCGACACCAAGGTGCCGCGGGCAGCTATGCTGGCCTGGCCGCGCTGGTTGTCGCTGGTCACCTGCGGCAAAGAGTGCGGTGGTATTGCTAGACGGGGGTACGCAGGACCCTGGAAGATGCTTACGAAGCACGCCCCGCTGGTGGTGGGAAGCGGCTGCGTCAGCAGGCCGCCCTGCAGGGCTGCTCCAGGGGTCCTGGCCGCTGGTTGCTGCAAACACGGTACGAGAATTGGGTGTTGCACACTTCACGAGATCACCCCAAGCCGTGCAAAAACCATGACACATACCCAGCTGGTGGAGGCCGTCGACACCAAGGTGCCGCAGGCAGCTACGCTGGCCTGGCCGCGCTGGTTGTCGCTGGTCACCTGCGGCAAAGAGTGCGGTGGTATTGATACACGGGGGTACGCAGGACCCTGGAAGATGCTTACGAAGCACGCCCTGCTGGTGGTGGGAAGTGGCTGCGTCAGCAGGCCGCCCTGCAGGGCTGCTCCAAGGGTGTTGGCCGCTGGTTGCTGCAAACACGGTACGAGAATGGGGTGTTGCACACCTCACAAAATCACCCCAAGCCGTGCAAAAACCATGACACATACCCAGCTGGTGGAGGCCGCCGACACCAAGGTGCCGCGGGCAGCTACGCTGGCCTGGCCGCGCTGGTTGTCGCTGGTCACCTGCGGCAGAGTGCGGTGGTATTGCTACATGGGGGTACGCAGGACCCTGGAAGATGCTTACGAAGCACGCCCTGCTGGTGGTGGGAAGCGGCTGCGTCAGCAGGCCGCCCTGCAGGGCTGCTCGAGGGGTCCTGGCCGCTGGTTGCTGCAAACACGGTACGAGAATTGGGTGTTGCACACCTCACAAAATTACCCCAAGCCGTGCAAAAACCATGACACATACCCAGCTGGTGGAGGCCGCCGACACCAAGGTGGCGCGGGCAGCTACGCTGGCCTGGCCGCGCTGGTTGTCGCTGGTCACCTGCGGCAGAGTGCGGTGGTATTGCTACACGGGGGTACGCAGGACCCTGGAAGATGCTTACGAAGCACGCCCTGCTGGTGGTGGGAAGCGGCTGCGTCAGCAGGCCGCCCTGCAGGGCTGCTCCAGAGCTCCCGGCCGCTGGTTGCTGCAAACACGGTACGAGAATTGGGTGTTGCACACCTCACAAAATCACCCCAAGCCGTGCAAAAACCATGACACATACCCAGCTGGTGGAGGCCGCCGACACCAAGGTGCCGCGGGCAGCTACGCTGGCCTGGCCGCGCTGGTTGTCGCTGGTCACCTGCAACAAAGAGTGCGGTGGTATCGCTACACGGTACGCAGGACCCTGGAAGATGCTTACGAAGCACGCCCCGCTGGTGGTAGGAAGCGGCTGCGTCAGCAGGCCGCCCTGCAGGGCTGCTCCAGGGGTCTTGGCCGCTGGTTGCTGCAAACACGGTACGAGAATTGGGTGTTGCACACCTCACGAGATCACCCCAAGCCGTGCAAAAACCATGACACATACCCAGCTGGTGGAGGCCGCCGACACCAAGGTGCCGCGGGCAGCTACGCTGGCCTGGCCGCGCTGGTTGTCGCTGGTCACCTGCGGCAAAGAGTGCGGTGGTATTGCTACACGGGGGTACGCAGGACGCTGGAAGATGCTTACGAAGCACGCCCCGCTGGTGGTGGGAAGCGGCTGTGTCAGCAGGCCGCCCTGCAGGGCTGCTCGAGGGGTCTTGGCCGCTGGTTGCTGCAAACACTGTACGAGAATTGGGTGTTGCACACCTCACAAAATCACCCCAAGCCGTGCAAAAACCATGACACATACCCAGCTGGTGGAGGCCGCCGACACCAAGGTGCCGCGGGCAGCTACGCTGGCCTGGCCGCACTGGTTGTCGCTGGTCACCTGCGGCAAAGAGTGCAGTGGTATTGCTACACGGGGGTACGCAGGACCCTGGAAGATGCTTACGAAGCATGCCTTGCTGGTGGGGGGAAGTGGCTGCGTCAGCAGGCCGCCCTGCAGGGCTGCTCCAAGGGTCTTGGCCGCTGGTTGCTGCAAACACGGTACGAGAATTGGGTGTTGCACACCTCACGAGATCACCCCAAGCCGTGCAAAAACCATGACACATACCCAGCTGGTGGAGGCGGCCGACACCAAGGTGCCGCGGGCAGCTACGCTGGCCTGGCCGCGCTGGTTGTCGCTGGTCACCTGCGGCAAAGAGTGCGCTGGTATTGCTACACGGGGGTACACAGGACCCTGGAAGATGCTTACGAAGCACACCCCGCTGGTGGTGGGAAGCGGCTGCGTCAGCAGGCCGCCCTGCAGGGCTGCTCCAGGGGTCCTGGCCGCTGGTTGCTGCAAACACGGTAGGAGAATCCACGTTTTGCAGAAATATGGAATAAATGAATTTGTCGCTCTTTCTCTCTTCGTGCTGGCCGAGCGGAGAGGGACGAAGGCTCCTTTGTATTTACCTAGGGGTGAAAAGTAATTCTCAAATGGGACAAAAGTGGTTTTGAGGGAGCTCTATAGGTCAGTGCGACACAATAAAGGGGTGTCCAAACAGGACACTACAAAACCGGCGACTCCGACAAATCGTGAAAATTGAAGCGGACGCTTCTATTTTTGCGGTCTGTCGGAGTCGTGAAAATGTTTGCAGGAGTCGTGAAAATTTTTACGATCCCGACTGCTCTCCTCGTCAGATTGACGTCACACGCCACCTGCGTCTTTCTCACCTCGCCAACGCCCTCGCGTACCGCCGTCGCCTCGGCTCGAAGGCCAAGGAGGTCCGGCTTTGGGTAAATTTGGGACATTCCTGCGTCGAAGGGTGCGTTTCGCCCGCCTCGGATCTGCTTTCTTTGTCGAGATTCACTTTCGTCGTGATGGCGTCCGACGCGGCTCCGTATTGTGAGCAGAGGCCTTGAGCGATTGACCGACAGGCAAAAGAGTGTGTGAGTGGCTCTCCGGACCCACGTGATGAGCAGAGCAAGGCCGCCGTGGAGGAAGCGAGGGGGAGATTTGACGGAGGGAAGTTTCCCCCCGGGAAGAATTGACGGAGGGAAATTTCCCTCCGACGGCCGGAAGCGGATAGCGGCAGAGCGCGGCACGATTTGCCGGAGTCGCGGGTTTTGTAGTGTCCTGTTTAGACACCCCTTAAGCCAACGGGACGCAGTGGACGTGCCTGCGGCCTGGGGACTCTCGTCTTCTAGCCATTTACTCTCGAACCACTAATTCTGCAAATGGTCCATTGGGTGTTGCCCACCTCACGAGATCACTCCAAGCCATGCAAGAACCATGACACATACCTAGCTGGTGAAGCTGTCATTGCATTACAAGGCAGCTGAAAGTGACGAATGCCTCATGCAGTAACGTAACAGAAGCAACAGAATATGAATGATTGGATTTTGACTTACATTTCCATGAGGCAGGGTTTTGTGCTGTGTCAGGCTGCAACACTGACTGATGGTGTCTCATGCACTCTTGTACAAGGACCCCTCCGAATTAAAAAGAAAAAGGTCTCTGGCATGGAACAGAGATGTCAACAGCATACAAAGTCCAGAATATTATAGGTCACCTGTGCCTCTTTCAAATCATCAGTAAAAACATCTTAACACAAAATAAATTATTGCTTTTAATTCACTCCCATAATCTAGGTAAATACGAAAGGAACAAAAATCTCACTTATCCTCGTTACACGCACTCACTTGACTTTTAGAATGCAGAAACAAGGTCGGAACAGCTGTGGCTTTTAGCCTCCTCCAGCCGTCGGAGCACCTCGCCTGGAACTGGGAGGGCTCGAAGTGGTCCTGCAGCGAATAACGTTTTGGTAGACGTCAAAACTGTGTATTCAGCCGCTCAAGTCACACTACAGTTATTCCGCTGACGAGAGGCTCACGCTTTCAAAATACGCGATCTTACAAATCCATCATCGCACGATCGCCACAGGCCTGAACCCCTCGTCTTTCTGCGGTGAAGCGAAAGCGCACAGGACGCTTCCACGGCAATAGAGAATAGATCACAAAATACACGGTTTTGTCACAGTGCACTCGCGTCCACCGCGCAATTTTAACCATGTTCGAACAATACCTCACCTCGCAAAGGTATGTCCTGTCGGGAGGTTTCCACCCCGCGCCACGCCCGATTCTCGAAAGCCACAGTTTTCGCCTCCTCGGGGATTTCGGCAGCTTGAACAACCGAATTCCCCTGGAAGCTCTGTTCTGGCATTTCAAAGCACAGCAGCTCCCCATTTTTCAAACACGACGGCAACTCCCGCGGCTACAGACTTTTTTTTTTACGTTATTTCAACGCACGTGGCCGCGCGTTCGAATCCTGTGGTGCACATTCGTTCATTCTACCATTAAAGAAGGCCATGACGAAATGCTCCCATGCACCAAGTTTTCAGTCACCAGGCGTTAACTTTTTTAACTCTAGCGACGCTAAAATGAAATTACCGAACCCTGCTTTACTTTTGAGGCTCACGACCACCGCTAGGGGAGGTTTTGCGGCTTGTGATTGGCCATGAGCGGCCTGTCAATCAACTTTTCGGCCAATAGATTTTCGCCCCATTGATACCAATGAATGGCCAAACTCTCCCAATATACGGCTCTGCACGCCTGTTACCCGCAGCGCCCCCTGGCGTCCTTGCTCGCTGTCATCGCTGCGCCGACCTCCTCCCTCCGTTGCTTCTCGGCGCGGACGACACACTGCCAACACCTCCTAAGACTGCCCAGTTCTAGTACACCATAACGCAGACGCGAAGCGCTGCACGGTAGCGCTGCGTGTGGTTTGACTGGGCGCACGCGTCCTGCTTAGCGCGCGCGCCAAGCCGAGACGCGCGTCTAGACGCACTGAAAAACGCGCCATGTGGGCTAGCCTTTATACGTGCATCTGCGTGCGTGTTTGCACGCGTGGGCGTTTGCCTGCTCATAAGTGCGCGTGCCTGTGCGAGTGCGCGCGTGCACGTGCGTGTGTAATTCGTGCGTACGTGTGCGCGGGTGTGCTTGTGCGTGTGTACGTGAATTTGCATCCGTGCCTGCGCGTGCATCCGCGTATCTGTGTTCGCGCATGCGTATGAGTGCCTAATTCGTGCGTGTTTGAGTGGGCGCATGCATACTCGGGCGTACGTGTGCCCAAGTACGCACGTTGTCGGACTTTGCGGGAAAGGTTCGAGAAGCTCGAACCTGGTCGAACTCGAACGTCGGCTGGTTCGCGACACCTTTAGTACTGACGTTGCGGACGGTTGGTGATTGGCCGCTGATAACTTCACCGTAACTTTTTGCTTTATGTTTAGCGCCATTTTTTATATTTCTATTCGTGCTATTGTAATCTTTTGCGATTAAACCCTCTGTACCCTTTCCTTGTGACCTATGAAACGATCTCGAACGCCTCGAACAACAGCGACGCTTGCGTTCGTTCTCGGGGCTAGTAGGCAAGGAGGTTACAAGTATTTATATGACGTCAGACTGCCTTTTGATGCCGAGTCACAACACAGAAGTATGGCCACCGAAGGCAAACGCAGTTATCCCATTGGCGAGTTTGCTTTGTCTTTCAATTTTCACAACTCTCCCGAATCAGTTTTGCTTTATCGTTTGGTGGTCATGTTTGTGGGCGATGACTCAGCACGTGACTAGACCCTATAACCGTTCATGGTGTTTTTCTCTGTTTTTATTTTGTAGATTGAACGATTCTGCTGCAGTGTGGAACGAACTACACGAAAGTGCTCAACCTTCTACGAAGTCTTCCGAGGAGCAGAACGTGTGGGGATCAGGACTATTGGAAGATATGTTCTCAAGTCATGAAAAACTGCCCGGTCGCCAATCATTACAAATTGTCTATGAAATACTATAAGAAACAATCAGTGTCGTGAAAAATTGTATAAAAATACTTTGTTGTGCAGTGCTGGTGGCTAGTTGTGATGAAGTAACGAAGGTATATGCCGGTAGTTTGTCATATATGTATTCGATTATGTATTTATTTTTAAAGTACCTAATATACAGTGTTGTTTTTACTTAACTGGAACGTGTTTTTCTTTTAAAAGAGGGGGAGACCCGTCCGCGCGCGTGGAAGACCTGCAGGTGTCTGCGCCCGCGTTTACCCGGCAGCCTTTTGCGGGTTGATTTTGCGGGGAGCAGGCGTTTTTTCTTTTTCTTTTTTGTCTCGCCACCATGAATAGGGTGCCTTCGTACACATTCGCTTGTGCGGAGTGGCGACATCTCGGCGATTTCACTGCCCGACCTTTTTTTTTTTATTTATTTATTTATTTTATTTTTTTGTTTATGCAGAGTAGACCGCCCTGTTTACAAACACGGTTTTTGCTTTGCCTACACCGGGTGTGGGCACTGCGGAATCGCAGCGTCTCGTTTTTGAAGAGAAGCCGCCTCTGCGTGGTGCGCCGTACTCAAGGCAGCGCCACCGCAGAGGGACGGCGTCGGAGCCGCGTGTCGGTGTATATACTTCGTTTCACGTCATGTGCGAGCGAAGTCAAAGCTAGAAGCGCGAGCCCAAGGCTCCGAGCGTGCCGGCTTCGCACGTGCGTACGTGCACCACAGGCGCTGTTACAAGCAGCATGCTCGCGCTTGTAGCGTTGGCTTCGCTCGCCCATAAGGTGAAACGAACTAGCCTTTTGATACCATATTCCCTCCAGAAGTTAATTTATAAACCGGGTGTTCTTTTTTGTTCTTTTTTTTTCTTTCTTTCTTTCATTAAACTTTCAAGTTGTATGATAAAGCCTCAAAGGCAATACAGTGTCTCTGTCAGTTACTTCAAAATATCTGTATTCCTTGGCAGAGTCCTGCCTTTTCCGTGCGGATACTTCGAAAGTCTGACTGATTATTGAATTCCTGTTGCCCACGAGGATAACAAAGGAATATGTGCAGAGAAAGACGCTTCTTTTAACGCTTACAAAAAGAAAAAAAAAAAAAAAAAACGGTTGCAAAACTTGTCCTCGGATCCCTGGAAAAGGTCAAGACCGCTCAAGATTTTACAACTGACAGCCGTCGAATTCGGAGTTGTTCGGATAAATCCGAATTCGCGATAGTTTCACCGGCGAGTGTTTCACGGAGTTCATAGCATTTGTCCGAAAGTTAAAGTCCCTATCTACAACCTAGGTTAGGGCCCACCAGGTCCAATCACAGACCAGTTATAGGCACGTGTGCATTAGCGTGCTTTTCTTATACGCGCGTCGAAGTAATGCATTACGTGACTGGCTCCCGATTGAACCTAACGGGCCGTGGCGTCGGCTGACGACCATCGCAGGACGAGACGCAATCATAGTGCTAAATTCTTCTCGTTGATAAGACTGAAGGATGTGAATGAAATGTACTGTACGTTTTGCTTGGTGGATGTTTTAATGATTTCGCGTACATAGAGCTGACTATCATGTCATGATTCGTGTGGCACCGAACTCCGGCTGGTGGATTGCTGAAATCATCACCTCATCAACCCTCCCGGAACCCGCTAGGAACCCACTTGCCAGTATTCGTTAGACCCACTGTGTCCGACCAAATCCGATCAACTGCCTTGCGCTTCGACACCAAGGCGGTTTTCGTTTGCAGCGTCTAGGCGATCTGAACCGATTATTTTATCTATACTTCAAATGGTGCAGGTGTCAACGATTTGCAGTGTTGTTCAAGATACTCGACAAAAGTATTTAAGACAAGATACTAAATACCCAAGTGAGAAAGTATTTAGTATTCAAGTTACTTTTGCGCCAAACTATTTTGAGCAAAGTGCAAATACTTTGAAAAATAATTGAATTACTTTTGAAGATACTTTATAAGCGCGCGACGAGCTGAAGTTATTACAACTAAATAAAAAAATGGGGGCATATTGATTATATTAACTTAGCTGAAACGCATATCGTTCGATGACCTCCTAGTGTACACCTCATTTGTCCCCCTAGACACGTGCAAAGGAGAAAGAAAGAACATTTAGTCTTAGTACTTCCCCTTTGGGGACAAACTTCTTCGTACGCCGGAAAAGGTATTTGAGATACTGAGTAGAAGATACTAAGCAATGTAGTTAAGATAGAGTGCTATTTACTCTCAATCGAATGTATCTTCAAGATACCAAAATACCGACAAAAGTATCTTAATTACAGTATCTTGAGTAGAGTATTTGAGATACGTAGAAGCCTTGCTATTTGCTTGTTTCAAGCGAGCCTCCTGCCGTCATATTGCTGGCGACACAGGAGAAAAGTGGTTTACCCGCCCTCTTGTTCAACATACCATAAAATACGCAGTATAATTACGAAATATTTACATAAATCTTTACTGACATGCGTATGTACATATACAGAAAGCTGGTGCACAACTGTTGAGGAAACGCACTGGTCGACACTTTTCAATATTTTAAAGATAAAGGTAAAACAAACAGTGGGCGACACCAGTCCAAAATGTATACCTCGGTAAAAAAAGTTCCCGTGTGTCTGTGTTTCCCCAAAGCAATTCGAGAGCCAGTTCTGTAAGCTACGGAGGATGCTCGGCGAATGGCGAAGCCATTGATGTGTCTAGACTGAAAAATAGTCGCCGAGAGGACACTCAGAGGCATGACACGACTGTTGTCTGTCCGTCATAAAGACATCGTTTTTAGAGCGAAACAATAATTCGGATTCGCCATTCGCCGAGCTTCCCCCGCAGATTACAGAGATTGATCCTCTACTCTAGGAAAAGTAGACGCGCAGGAAGTTGTGCGAGGAAAGAAAAAAGGTAGCGAGTGGCGAATATTTGTGATTGCGTGTGCCGGAAAAATATAAAAAGAACCTGAACAATACTTAAAAATTAAAAATCTCGACCAGCCAGCAGACTTCACTGAGGCCTGCATTTTCATTTTCGGAAATTTCGGCAAACTCCAGTCGTGTGGCTTTAGCCCCATAACTTTTGCAACTGTGAATCCGTGGGCGTCAATCAACGCCAGGCCGCTTCGTCATCCATAGCCCAAAAGCGACGTTCACGGCGCCCACCAGGGGATACCAGCCAAGGTCGCTGTACCGGGGCCGCCCGATACGTGATACTTGTCCGCCGCACTCTAAGAAAAAAAGGAGGAGAAAGGTAGCAACAGCGACTGTTCCTCCTTGTTGCGGACAAGTTGCCCAGAGAAGGGAGCAACGGCAGTTCAGATGAAAGGAGGAGGGCACGTTCCTCCTTGTTCAGTTGGCGCAGGGGTAAAACATCGCGCTCCCGACCAAGTGGTCAAAGGTTCGATCCCTAGAGGAACCGTTTTTTTTTTTTTTTTGTAAAGTTTTTATTTT